GCAGCGTTTTGGTCCCCAGCTGTTAGAAGGCCTTCTTACAGCTGGGGACCAAAATGCCGCTGGAAGCAGGGAAATAATGTACCATCAAAAAGGGATTTTTGTCTTGCTTTGAATGGAACAAGTTTGAAGAATATGGTAGGATAATTGTGAAAATATTCATTTTGATTAAAATAATCATTATATAGTTTTGAATAAACAGGTTCCTGGTAAATACAACAATAGACAAAATTCGAAACATTAAATTCATACACCTGGTTTACAGGTAAAATGTTGTACTTCTTAAAGAGAGGTGCTGAATGTGCCATTCTTGGCTGGTTGTCTAATATTCAAAGGAATCTCTTTTGAAATAGAAGTAGGGAATGCAGCTCATTTGTATGAGCATTGCTATGGCCACCCCAGATTAAATTACAGTAATTTATATGTGAGTATATCAGGGAATTATAGATTGCCAAAAGACTTGTTTTATTCAATAAGTGGCGAATCTTATATAAGAGACCAATTGTTCTGGATATTTTTGCTTCTATATGTTTAATATGTTCTTTCCAGGTAATATGTTCATCAACAATGACACCTAAAAAGTTGATAGATTTTACTCTTTCAATTTTTTTCCCGGACATATCAATTTTGATATCTCTAAAGATTTGTCGTTTCTGTTTATTGACCAAGATAAATTTTGTTTTAGAATAGTTTATTGACAATTTATTTGCTTTGAACCAATCGTCCATAAGATCAAGTTCATTATTAACCTTTTCTATTAGAGATAATTCAAATCTTTATCTGAGGCCAACAAATTAGTGTCGTCAGCAAATATTACGCTTTTAAGAATATTGGAAACCTTAAACATGTCATTTACATATAATATGAATAATGTCGGCCCAAGGACTGAGCCCTGGGGCACACAAATTATTATTATTAGTTATTATTTCCCTAAACCCACCTATTTCCTTTTGTTTAATTATTAGAGAGAGTCTCACGAAGTCTTGAGGCACTGAAAATCTATTTATAAGATTATTATTTCCTATCTACACACCGGTTTAGGACGTTATACAAGTATTTTCGGCGGGAGATTTGTAAGTACTCATTTATTTCGACGTTTTGACAGAATATGGTTCTTTCCCTTTCGTGGAAACATTGGCCATACCATGCAGATATATCTCTTGTATCACTGCGTCTCAACATTTCGTCTGAACACGGTCTAGAACGTCTCAAACCTTCAAGAAAGCACATGATAAATTTTGGAAAGAAATGATCATTTTTTCACAAAAATGATCATAGTTTCTATAATTGTAACCCTATCATCTTGAAATATTGATTAGATTAACAATGCAATTTTATACATCATCCAGACACTTCAGTTTCCCAAATCAATGAAAGAATTCCGACAAATTAATTTTTCTTTGGAGGTATACGACGTTAAGTTTGCCATGACATTGTTTCTTTATATTGTCTTGATCTTACCTCACTACGTATTAAATAACATTTATGTTGATTTAACATGAAGCGTATTTATGAGTTTATGGTAATATAATTTTATTTTAGTTGGGTCAGTATTAGAGTTTCCAGGCCATGGAGGCTAAAATTGTCCTTCGGAGCAAAAAGAAAAAAAAGAATAAAATTGAGAGGCTTTACATGTACTTCTCCCCAAAGAGAATTTTGGTGAAAGCTCAGTGATGCAATGCCCTTGATGCACTAAAATTCTGAACGCCAGAAAAAAACTCTTACTAAAAATGTTCATACTTTTTCATGCTGTAATTATTAGAACAAATAGCAAGTATAAAGATCACTCACAATAATAACATATTACTATACACTGGCTGGGGATCACATGAGTGCATTGATTATGAAGAAGATGTTTAAACAATGGAACACAAATGGCTTAATTTTGGAAACACACATAATCAAATAAAAATTTGAGCAGTGTTTGATTCAAGGAAACAAACATTATTATTTTCGGTCAGGACTCACTTCATAAATTGTTTTCACTCATCGCTACTCACATTCTTGCCAATTTTTGCGCCCTATATATTTTAAGAGCACATTCTGCAAGTGATTGAAAATTCAAAATAACTGTTTGACAGACTTGAATTAAATTTGGACGGTTCTATATCTGATAATTTCTGTAACTTTGTGCTATGTTATGGTCCTGAGCTATTTATGTTGCTGACTTAATTATTCAGGGTGGTTGAAACATAAAATTTATGTAGCGATTTACTCGTAAATGGACCTTTGAAAAGAACAGGCCAAATTAGAGAAAATATAAATCACTAGTATTCCCTTAAATGTTCCAAATGAACAAAACTGGTCAACATTTGGGATATTTGACCACATTTAAACAAATTTGACCAGATTAAGCAAATTTTGCAACATTTAAGTAAATTTAGCAAATTTGGCAAAATCTAAGCAAATTTAGTATAAATTAAGCAAAAAGTAAATGTCTCCGTAAAAATTTGACGAAATACATGTAAGCATGTTTTTTACAAAAGTTGCATAGATTAATGATTATAGATGTATGTATAGATAGATGTGTCCATAAACCTGCTGCTCTATATTAACCTTATAGAGATTTTCACAACCTACTTGAATCAGTCATTCAGGCAAGGCAAGAGAGACGTGTTTACCAGTCCAAAATACATTTTAATTAGGTTGGCGTGGACGTGGAAACAATATGTTGACATTGTATGACATGTATACATTGAACAATCAATATGGACAACCAAATGCTAGTTAGGAAGTTTATATTACCCTCGGATTTACTTACGTGTTTCCTCAGATAGTTGTCTTTTGAAAGACTTTGAAAGTGGCGACTTCAATTCAGTAGACTTATTTGATGCATATGGTGACTGAGAATACTTTTTTCCGACATGGTTAGACTTTGGGGGTTGGTAACCCGGTTCACTTTGGGGAAAAGTAACAATGTCATGGTGAACGCATCCTTGGCCCAAGAGTAATTCATTTCATTACATGAGCTCAGTTGCTATGAAAGCAATGAAGGACCGATCTTGAAGGACGGGTGAATGTCATTTCCTTAAAGTCGTAATAATTATATTGGCCTCGGGATAATCACAATATCATGAACATCATATAGGATAACCTCTATACAGTCACTGTTTAGTCATTTCCTGTAAGTAGCATGGCACCTTACAGTGTATGCCCTAAGGATTCCAGAGCTGCTGGTCAAAATGGCATTACTGACCAGTTGCAATGTTATTTTCCTATACCTAGTGAAAAAATCAACTGGTCAGTATCAAGAGTAACCAGATAATGACCAGCTGTCCGACGCTTAAGGCGACAATCCAATGGACAGCAAACAGGTGGTAAAAATGTTTAATACTCATTGCCATTTATAAGTATTTACAAGTGACGTGTGAGTCAATGAAATATTGCATTATGAAAATGTCCACACAGCTTTTGGTATAAAGATCTGATAGTATTCATGTTGGGGATGGGGTATTCAACATGTATTAAATAAAATCTGAGACGCATCTATTGCTACACCCATCTGTCAATAAAAGTGTATAACCCTTAGATCTAATGATAATAATTTGTTTCTTCAATACAGTATAATAGAACACACCAATCTAACATAAATCTTAAATAATGTTATCGTTTTTATTAATAAACCAATATAATATATTCATTAGCATATTACTTTAGAATATCAATATTTTTTACATGATTCAAAATTAAGAACAATATAATAAAATTATTAACATCAACTAGTATTTTGCAATAATAATAATAAAATGGTATTATAACATATCATAAATATTATCTAGGAAGAAATAGAGGGATTCCTCAAAGTCACTTTAATTGTGACATTTTCCCTTCTGTAAATATCTAAACTTTGTGACTTAGGGTAATTCTTTAACAACTAGACCTACAAACACTGACTTCCAATGCCACAGTTTACAACTATTTCTACCTCTACAGCCATTTCTAGGACTAACAGCAATATGAGACCAAACAGGGAGGAGTAAAGATGAAAATATAGATGAGGCAAAATTAAAATGGTGAGGCAAATTTGAGGTAAGGGGTAAATAATACTATTGTTCAACTCATAAATAATTCAACTGAAGATCAATTTCTACTATGAAGAAATATTACAATTAATGCATTTCTTATGGTGAGTCAGTTGCTTGCATCCCTGCCTCATACCAGCATATATCCATAGTGTCAATGCTTATATCTTCAACTTGAAATTTTACAGATAAGAGTAGACCATCTGATAAGCTTTAGGGCATGCTGGTTAAATTACATGCTGGCCATTTTGCTCTTCAAAACGCAATATTTATCACTGCTGTCTTTTAAAGTATTAATCTCTGCATCAATTGTTCTTTGCAGGCTCTGTCTGTATAGGGTGAAACTACTGATCGATTTTGGTCAACTAAACATGGTCTATTATTACAACACCCTTAAAGGGGTATTCCTTGCCAGACCATCTCTCTCCTAATATGGTGGCTATAACCATATACATACTTTGCAAGTTTATCAAAAAACAAAAAAATGTTTTGAAATGGTCAATATTGATCACTTAAAATGTAGTGCTCAATTCCAGTAGGCTGCCATCTTTTAAAATTTCACTCAGGAAGTGATGTCATCGACTCTAAACTTTGCATATAACATTAGGTAAGGAGCTATTAGAATTACTAAACCAGCTGAATATTTTTTTCAAATTGGTCTATGATTAAAATCCTTTTGATGATCTCTTCTTTAGTTCTAAGTTGACAACTCCTGAAAATATTTTTACACAGAAGACAAGGGCTTCTTGTTTAGATGTGATTTTGTACTTCTTTCCTATACTGTAATAGACAAGGTTATAACAGGTGAGAGTCGATGACATCACTTCCTGAAAGAAATCTGAAAAGATGGCAGCTTACTGGGAATGAGTACTACATTTTTAAATGATAAATATTGACCATATGAAAACATTTTCCCGTGTTTTGCTAAATATGTAAAGTATATTCATGATTGTAGCTACCATATCAGGAGAGAAATAGTCTGGCAAGGAATGTTCCTTTAAAAAATTTAGAAAAGAAAATGAGGTCATGAAACTAAGTGATAAAAATGTCTGTTTTTTCGAACACAAAAATCAATGTTTTTTTCTCAACAGTGTGGGTGTATTGTTTATGCTGTAGGTCTCTGAGCTAATAATCAAACAGAACAAAATATCATATATTTTCATGATTACTCAGACACTTAAAAACTCAAACCAAATATGCCACTTCTTGAAATATCTGTTTTTTCTTATTCTTATTAAGTATGGGATGTTTGACAGATTTATAGTATAGATAACCCAGACAATATATAATTCGTGAATTAAATAGAATTTTCTTTTTCACGCACTCTCATAATTTCTGGCAAAAAGGTGATGAAGTCATTCAATGATTCCAAGTTGTATAATATTAATAAAAAACAAATCATATTGTTAATAATTTTCAAATAGCAATCAATTAGAATCGATATAAAATGTTTACATTATAGTACTCTAATATAAGAAGATAGAATAGTGTATATATCCCAAATACCCTATATAATATGCTTTATAGTGTTGATTCTGACTTCCCATAGTCAATGTTGTATAATATGTCTAGCATTACAGGGTGTCCTCCAAGGAAGATGAATAAATTACTTGATGTACACCCTGTATGTAATGGTATATGAATATCTTAACAATGATGCTTTATACAATTAATAAGTAAAATTTACATCTTTATATCATCATATAAAATGTGACACATATAGCTATCTATTAAAATGCTTCTTAAGCATCATACATTGCCACTCACAATAATTCTTAATGACACAAAGTTATCATTATTTTTAATTGATTTAAATTTTAACAAAGAAATAGAATAGCTTTCCTAAAAATCTTCAAGTATTTCTGTACAAGAGAAGATTTATAGTAAAGATACAATATACAGGCTGGCTTGTAATGTGTAATCCCTTTTCCAGAAGGAACTCTGTATAGCCAAACACATGATTTGTGTAATAATGAATTATCTCTTCAGTTTTTATAGACTGTAATAAACCTTATAATAATAATACCCCCACTTGTATTGTATATGCTCAGGATTGCATCTGATAAATACAGCAAATATAATCCGACTCAAAATTTAATATTTAATGTTCTTAATAGTTTTTAATATGAACAATTCAATATTCTTCATAGCTATTAATATGAATAATTGACACCTATTTCTGTATAATAGGGTTATGATATTTAATGCCAAATAACTCATTGAACATTGTCAACCGTGCATTGCAAATGCTGTTTTATAAGTACATTAGTAGATGTATGTCACCAGTAATACGTAGTACCTCCAACCACCAGGTTATTGCTAAGCTTGGCCAAGTCTTGCATATTTAAACCATGATGACATCAGATTGAAATCATTGTGACATCACATGTAACCCATTATGACATCACATATAAACATTATGACATCACATTTAACACAATCTCTCCTTTGGCTTGTTTAAGTATAGTGACTGCTTCTTCATGTGATACATGGTCTAAGGATTCCCCATTTACTGATAAAATTCTATCTCCTCGTTTAAGATTTCCATCCTCTGCCGCTGCCCCCTTGTTAAACACAGTCTTGACATAGATGGGAAGATCACCATGGGGACTGCCGTGACCTCCGACAATGGAAAAACCTAAGCCATCTGCTCCTCGCTTCAGCTTAATGACTCTTACATCACCGCTTTGTCTATAAATATCACATGACATGTTAGAATTGTACTGTATTAAAAAAAGATGTACTTGTAATATATAAGAGTTTATGACAAATACAGATATGTATTTTGATAGACAAACAGAGAAATATGATACCAGTTTCCAGGAATATATGCATGAGCATTCAATTATGGTATTTACTTTACCGATTTTCTTTTACTGTAGTAAGACCCATAACTCTCCTTATTATGAGACAAACTTTAAAGGTTTATGCCTTATTTACATTATACAGCTCTGAGGGTCTAAGAAAATCCAGAGCTAAAATTTATCCTAGAACTGTATAATGTTAAATTTGTTCATGCACACCAACTAGACCATAATAATCTCTTCCCTGCATATCTGCACCTTCATGCAGCAGTTAAAAGTCAGCTCAAATGGCTAGCATATTTTACATGGTTACATCTTTCTTCATCATACTGTAGGTATGCTTGCTGTTTCATACTATCTTAGGGGACACATGTGTTAGCAAGCGGGAACCCTAATTGACTAAGATCAAACTCACAGTCTGATGGGATTTCGATTTAGTTTCCATGTTTTAGCAATGATTGGTAACTACTGTAAAAGTCCACATTTTTGCTGACAAAAAAATTCACTATTTTGTCAATCTGAAATGTCTCATGGGCATTAAATTCCACTGTTTAACGAAATATCCCATTGAATTCAATGTTAAATCAAATTTTCACCGTGGCTTTAATTTCAAGGTCTAGCCTCTTCAGTGAAAATAGTGGAAATTAGGGCACCTTGAAAATTTGGGCTTTTACAGTATACGATGTAAAATGAGCCTGACCATAGGAAAACCGGTCTTATCACAAAAATCAAAATTGTGCTACAGAGCCAAAAATGTGCTAAATTACAATCCGACTTTTTGGTCTATATATGCAAGGAAAAATCGTTAAGTCATAAGTGATGGCTCATTTGAAAGGTCTTTTTGTGCTTTTTAAGATAAACAAAAAACAAATTATTGAAAAATCTGTGATAAGACCCCCTTTACTGTGGCCCAGGCTCAAATAGTGACTGAAAACTGCAACTTACTCTATAATTGGTGTTTTGTTGGACTGGTTGGCTTGAACATTATCTACAATACTGTCACCTGGAACCAAGATTTATCTATCAGTTTTAAACAAGACCTGTTATTTGCATACTGTATATACAGGGTGTCCAATCAATCAAAATAACTGACTATTCAGATAACATCTAATTGGAGAGTCTGTACATTAAGGGCAAGAGGTTTTTATACAGCCATTACCAAGGATTTAGTATTTCATCCTTTGTTGATCATCTCGAGAAATATTTTTTAGAAATCCTTACTTAATCCATAATTTAACAATGTCTGAGAAACTGCACCCAGAGTCTAGCACCTTTATTGCTTTCTGAGGTTTTAAAGACAACAAAGAAATCCCAATCATGGCATACTTGAAATCAAGTTTTGTATAGCCCTGAGAATGGATGGCATTTTGGGGATTCAGAATTCAGATTCAAGTTTCTGTTCCACAAATCCACATGCAGTCACAACCACCCAAAATGCAACATGTTGCACCATCAAAGTACAAGGAGGATTGACCCCTAGGGTTCCAGCTCAATTTTTCTCAATCAATCTCTGAGTAATTTGTTCAGTACTGATTGCTATGGCAAAGTTTGCACAAATGAACTGCAATGAGAATGGCCAATATTTTACAAACCTTGACCCTTAATGATGACATACATTGAAAATATTATTATCTCCTGATTATAACTGACTATAAATTCATAATGAGTAATCCAAAAGATTTGATCACTTGTATTGATATTTTTGTGAGGAAATAAGACCAAAATTCGCAATTTATGTGAAAAATGGAGGCTTTTTGATTTCAAATTGTAATCACATGAGTCTCTATATGGGAGAATATCGAGTTGGAATTCTGGGAGCCAATCCTACTTGATCGAAGTAACGATTACAGATATCAGATATCCAATTCACGTGTCATGCTGATAACGAACAAAATAATATACAGGAAACTAAAATGAAAAAGTCTTGCAACAAGCCTGGCTGTCTCCTCAGCTCTTTCCTGACCCAGATCTTTATTGTATTGAGAATGGGTGAGGGAGATGAGAGAACAAGGGCTTTAAGCAAGACTTAAAAAAGATAATCTGTGCTTGATTGTGATACCTTGCACTACTTTGAGCTTGACAGTGTTTGGTGAGTTCTGTATGAGTTGAATCACTTGAGCTTGGGTCATGCCATCAGTTGATGTGCCATTGATCTCAACAATCTCATCACCGATCTACAATAAAAATATCAATGAAATCCGGTGAAGGTGTCTATCAAGATACATAGATAGAGAGATATAAGAGCTTTAAACTAAGGAGGCATTATGAATTCAGACCCCCTCTACTAAGGTACTACTGTATGTCAGGTGTGGCCAATTAAAATGTTTTATGTTTATATTTTTACTGAATTATTGATGTTCTGTACTGTGGATGCTTATTCTAAAGTATGTTTAGTATTTTAGTTGTGTCTATGTAATTTGATGGTGACTCACTAAAGTCGTCCATTGTGTAAAATGTGTTGTAAATATAAGTGATAGCTAAAGTTTATGATAGTTTTACAACATGAACTATGCAGTCTCAATGTTACTCATGAAACTTGACGCTGTACATTACACGACATGACTGACCCCAAGGTTACCTTAAATTTCTGTAGTCTGGCTGCTGGGCCCCCTGGCATCATGTTGGCAATGATGATGGGGGCATCCCCCACTGGACTCCCCACACCCCCTGTTATACTCATCCCCATAGAGCCACTAGGATCTTTTGTGACTTCATAGGTGGCAGTTATACTCTTCTCGGAGCCGCAATCACTTGCACCTGGAGAACAAGAACCTTAATAAAGAAATACATACACAAGGATAAATCAACATATACAGCTTTTCAACCCTATGCACTGAATTCACTTAATAGCAAGAATCAACTAACATTTCTGTGAGATGTCACTTTTGCATGATAAACCCTTTTAAATTCCTGTTAACTGGAAATATGTCACATGCTATTGTGGCAAGCCAATTTAATTAGAGCTTATATAGTAATCATAAAACTAAGTAATATTCATGATGCCATCTATAATATGTGTATTGTATACTAACTAAAATGTATATGGGCCTAAGGCCTTAAATATATGAAATAAATAAAAACTATACTAGTATATAGGACCCAGCATGTATTTCACTGAGCTGGACAGCACTAAAAATAGTTAAAAGCTTGAAACTACCATTTAATATTGAATTTTTACTTACTTCTCACAGGCTTATTGCCAGCTGAGTTGACTGCCTTTGCTGGAACAGCACGTACTGCTCCTCCACTTTGGGAACTAGAGCCAGAGTTACGACGTGATGAACAACTGGAGCCTTTAAGTCGACCAACCTTTATCACAACCTTACCCATTATAGTCTGTAAGTAAAAAAACATAAGATTAAAACTTGAATATCAGCTCTGTTTAGCCAAATAAGAATATTGTGCATATATAACGTAAGCGTTATAGTCATTTACTGACAGCAGACGGGTCTATATTTTGCATGCATAAAATGAAAATTTACTCCATTATCACCCAGTAAACATTTTTAATTTGTCATTGTGAAATGTGTCTCGAACTTGAATATGTTTCATTGTTGGTAGATGCACATTACATTGGGTATACTGCAGCCTTTGACAGGTACCAGCTTTAAATCCATGTTATTTCTAAACTTTTTAGATTCTCCTGGTTTGAATCAGACCAGATACTGTAAATGGATTCAATTATTACATTTTAAATCAATTCTGGCTCATTGGCAGTTACTGCCATGTTTGTTGCTTTTAAACAAGTACAATCCATGACTCGAAGCATCTTGGTCTGACCAAAGCAATCTTGGCCCAGCCCAGAGTGCAAATGTCACCACCTCTGTATCTTACCTTCAGGAAAGCAGCTGCATATTCCTGCGCAACTTCTGAGAAATCTTCCCCATTCACCTCAAGAATCTTATCACCCGGCAACAATCTCCCATCAATCTCTGCTGCCCCCATCTTCACCTTGGCAACACAGAGAAAACATTGTAATTTTATGATATATATATTACTATTTGCAATAATTTCGATTATCAACTCTCATTTTATATCTTGAAAAGCTGCACAAAAAGAATAGCTGCATATTTCATTCATCTTATGACTATTCTTATGAAATCAATACTAATGCTCATTCTTTGTGTATATGAATTAATTTATTTTTCAAATTAATATCTGAAAGGATTCAGGGAACGAAACAATGTACACGTATTGCATATTTCATGAAGAATAGCTATGCATAATAAATAATGCCTGAACCCTCAATAATAATTTCATTATAATTATACTTGAGTAATATAAATAAATAAATATTAATGACAAATAAATTTTGACCAGTAAAAAGTTAAGTCTCCTTTTGTTGTTACCTTACCATGGTAACACATGGGTCAAACATACAAAGAACATACAAAGAATAATCCATAAAAAAACTGAAATACTCACTACATCTGAGATAAACACTCCATTGTCATTATGGCGGCCCACAATGCTAATTCCTAGGCCCTTATTGGGCTTTTTGAGCAGTTCTACAGTAAATATATCATACAAGTCCTCATCCTTTATCTGTGTTTCATCTCTATATACAGTCATCTTTACAACTGCAGTAGTCTGCCTGAGAGCCTGAATTGCCTGGTCGTGAGAAGCTTCCCTTAGGTCAGTTTCATCAACCTAAATATAGGTGTAGATTTAAATATGTGTACAAGTTATAGAGGGTGCATCCAAATACATGTACAAGTCATAGAGGGTGCATCCAAATACATGTACAAGTCATAGAGGGTGCATCCAAATACATGTACAAGTCATAGAGGGTGCATTTAGATACATGTACAAGTCATAGAGGGTCCATTTAAATACATGTGCAAGTCATAGAGGGTGCATTTAAATACATGTAAAAGTCATTGAAGGTGCATTTAAATACATGTACAAGTCATAGAGGGTGCATTTAAATACATGTACAAGTCATAGAGGGTCCATTTAAATACATGTGCAAGTCATAGAGGGTGCATTTAAATGCATGTAAAAGTCATTGAAGGTGCATTTAAATACATGTACAAGTCATAGAGGGTGCATTTAAATACATGTACAAGTCATAATGCCTGGGTCACATTTGCTCCAGTTCATCGACTGGCGCCCGGCCGATTGAGTATCCTGTTCATAATTGTATTTAGTTTTGCATTTAAATACATGTACAAGTCATAGAGGGTGCATTTAAATACATGTACAGGGTGGGCCAAAAAATTTTGCAACTTTTTTAAAAGGCTAGAAAAGTATCAAAATATAAGGGTATTGCCATAAAAAATTATTTACAGAAACTTAAGGATAGGCATATTTTACCAGTCAAATGCTAAAGCTAAAACTGGCTTCAAATTTTTTTGTCAGATCTTTGAATATCAATGGTCAATTGTCCATGTGTCCGAGATTTACCATTTTTCCTAGAAAATGTGACTTTCTATGATTTTATGTACTGATCAACAATAATACATTCATAATGTTCACTAAATCTGCTACAATCTTGGATAACTGTTTAAACAATGTCTAACTCAATGTCTAGTTTATATCAGTATCTAGTCACTATGGTATTATGTTATATTGTATTTATTAATTATCTATTAAACAAATGTTTTATGCACCCCCTTTCACTTTCCCTATCGCTCCCAGCCATTGGGCAAAAGTCACTTTGGAATATCTGGAGGAGAATAAGCCTTGATTCATTAGTCCTGATGAATGGCTGCCAAATACCCCAGATGCCAACTCCTGGGACTATCACCATTGGGGGCACCTGGAGCAGCATATTGCAGTTAATGGTAATCCCCCACAAACTATTGTCAAACTAAAAGAAGTTCTGCAGGAAAAGTGGAGAGAACTGCTACAAGAATCGCTGGATTCATAATATCATAGTGACTAGATACTGATACAAACTGTACTAGACATTGGTTGAACATTTATCCAAGATTGTAACAGATTTAGTGAATATAATGAATGTTTTATTGTTGATCACATAAATGAAACATTTTCTAGGAAAAACGGTAAATCTCGGACACATGAACAATAGACCATTGATATTCAAAGATCTGATAAAAAAAATTGAAGTCCAGTTTAGCTTTAGTATTTAAATGGTAAAATATGCCTATCCTTAAGTTTCTGTAAATAATTTTTTATGGCAATACCCTTATGTTTTGATACTTTTCTAGCCTTTTAAAAAAGTTGCAAAATGTTTTGGCCCACCCTGTACAAGTCATAGATGGACAGGTGGTACATTTAGATACATGGTACAAAATATTTTGTTAGATTTGAATAGATCTTATCAAAGCACACAAATTCCCCATCTTTTTGTATGTTGCACATGGTTATTAATCTATGTGATCGTAAATAGTTAAATAGAATGATGCAAACAATACTTCTTCACTTACATTTTTTTAAAGTCAAATAGGCAATAATTGTCCACACCAAATCTATGTGTGAAAGCAAGATCCAAAATTTAACAGCTTATATATACTCCCTTCACCATTGACGGAATTGAATAATACAATGCCTGTGGATTTTTACTTTTCAAGGAATGCCATGCAAAGAGGGCAAATCACCATTCTGTTCAGCGGTCTGTTACCATTTAACCCATCAGTTGACCTGGACTGACTTCCCTCACCCACGATTGGCATGAGCCACAGTAAAATACATAATACATTCATCCCATTCAATCAAATGAACAGTGACTTGAACTGAACCATGATTAATGCCTGGGTCACATTTGCTCCAGTTCATCGACTGGCGCCCGGCCGATTGAGTATCCTGTTCATAATTGTATTTAGTTTTGAACAGAATACTCAATCGCCCGGGCGCCGGCCGATGAATTGGAGGTAATGTGACCCAGGCATCCCCGTGTGTACAAATAGGTACCCATTTATTACCTGTAGTATCTGGTCTCCAGCCCAGAGCCTACCGTCACGTGCTGCCGCCCCGTCCTCATACACTTCATGCACAATGATGGCACCCTGCAACATACCAGCCACCATGCAAGCATCACCTCACAATATATACAGGGTGTCATTAAATAATGATACTCTCATATCTCATACCCTCAGCCAGTGGAATCGCTTATTTATAATATATGTTGAATTCATGCAAGCAATTTTCATAAATTCTGAATTTTGGGGGTTTTCAGACACTTTCAGAACTTTATTCATGATGTTGATGACAAAATCATTAATTTGTGAATGGGATCAATGAAGAAGTTTTAACAAACATGTAAGTCATCTCAAGCCTGTCTATAAGAATAAACCCCATATTCCCCTTAGGGAAAAATAAAAATTGTCAATCCAATTAGCCAAGGGCAGAATATAGCCAATTTAATCTCAAGCCCTCAGGCAAGGGATCAAAATGAAAACAATGTTATTTAATACCCTTGAACATTACTGAAATATTTTCAAATCAAACGGTACAACTTTAAGAATGATTCGAACATGACTGTATTCACGCCTTCTATAAACTGTGAACAAAGTCAATGCTTCAGCTGGGTTATATTCGAGATCAATGCCCCAGCTCTGTACTAGTGTTTCGTTCAGTGCACTCAATGGTCAGTTCAGGCTGTTCCGTTCTTTTCGCAAAATTTAATTTTTATATGGATATCTGCTGCGATTTTTTGGTTTCTGGGGCCGGCAATATAGAATTAGTTTCAATAATTATCAATGTAGTAGATATGCGTGAAACCAATAAAATAGGTGGAAATGTCAATAAAAAGTCGGGGTCAGGAGGTAAGTAAACAAGTTGGAACAGCCAAACGCTCAACTGGAAGTAGAAATGAAAAAGTGGAAAGGATCACCGAGATTGACGATTTTGCAATATTCTGGTGAGTTTTCATGTTCGAATCGTAATATAGACCTCAGAGCAGGGCTACTAGTTTTGAATACACCCCTTAGGTCTTGGCACAAAAGCTTTCGAAAACGTTTGTGCCAAGACCTGCGGGTGTATTCGAAACTAGTAGCCCTGCTCTTCAGTCTATATTTCTTAATCAAAGAGTGATGTTTGCCAAACTAACAATTTATTTTAATTACACCCTCCCCAAATGTTACTTATCACATTTATTGGTCAAAACCATACATCAATATGCTGACCAAGTCTCTATCATAGTCTAGTATCAGTAGAGTACATACCAATAAAGTGTCGGCTCCACCGACTATAGAGAGACCAAGTCCTGCTTTGCCTTTCTCTATTTCTATATTTGTCTCTTTGCCTGCTCTCAAGGCACAAGTCTTAGGGTCACCTTGGGGCTCTGTGGGTTCTGGAAAACAAAAATGACTTAATCTATTGACCCTTTCCTGCTATTTACTACTATGCCATCATAGTGCATGAAGTGTATAGTACAATGTAAGGTTGTTTCTGTAAGTTGCAAGGTTGTTCCTAAGGTGTAAATTTGATCATAAGGTGCAAGGTTTATCCTAAGGTGCAAGGTTGATCCTAAGGTGCAAGGTTGATCCTAAGGTACAAGGTTTTTCATAAGGTGCAAGGTTGTTCCTAAGGTGCAAGGTTGATCCTAAGGTGCAAGGTTTTTCCTAAGGTGCAAGGTTGATCCTACGGTGCAAGGTTGATCCTAATGTGCAAGGTTGATCCTAAGGTGCAAGGTTGATCCAAATGTAAGATTCTATAGTATCAGTGTGGCAATAAACTGTTAAAAACCTATCAGGAAATTCTTAATTACAATTTTTATATCTCTAAATTATTCAGATGTTTAATTATCAAAACTTTTGTATCAGCAAAACAAACAGTTTAAAAAATAGTTCTCATTGAATATAAATTGGTAGTTAGCACATCATTCAATACATTCAATAGGTATAGTATTGTATATTGCAAAAGTTTCTTTAATACATTGGGTATATCAGAAAAAACATTTGATTAAACTGGCACTTTCATGTTTTCTTTAAAATGTCATATCATTTTTTTTATTTAAACTTTAAAAAATGGAACTGGACTAAACCATTAAGATAATAATGAAAATGTATTTTCCTATTTTAGTGATGAACCATTTTGAAGTCAGAAAGTTTTTCCAATGAGTGAGAAAGTAATTCCTTGTTCATGCACAATATGGAGCCAAAAGGAAGATCTAGTTTCTTTTGAAATCAATCTGCAAAGTGTTTTATCTACAGGGCTCCTCTTATTAGAGCATTTTATTCAAAACAAAATTAAGAACCCTGATTCCAATATTACCACAATTCTCTACAATTAAAAAATGTCCAACTTATGGGACCTTTGAAGAAAGTAGGTTTACAATTCAGGTAAGAACTATTTCTATATCCAGTGAAGAAAATTTGAGTTTTGAAAAACAAAGGTAGGGTCAATGGATGCTCTTCATGAGTGTTCGCCAAGAGAAAGTGGGTGTATAAAATAATTAATTAATAAAGTGCTTACCTTCGAGAAGTGGGGGAGTTGATGGTGGTAAATGTGGCTGCTCTGACTCTGTATCTATAGTGAGAGTTGTTGAGCTTGGCTCCTAGAATTCAAAGATACATTACATTATTGACCCCTTCTACCATTTACCATAGGTAATTCGATAAATAGCTTTGAAATCTCGTTGAAGTTCCATTTTCAATGAGATCTTAGGAGATATACTATTTTAACCAATGATTAAAGACCAACATTTTCTTCTATTTGATGGCATATTTGAATTCTGTATGTAATTTTCTATTAAAACAACAACTTGTATCCGAATTGACATGACACAATGTTAAAAAGCATTAAAAGCTCATTTACTCTTTTAAGGTTCACAATTTTCTGATAGTTTTCTATGCGCTATGTATAGTATTCATGCCCTACTAACACCCCTTGCTACCATCTATTTATCCATCTCTCTATATCTTCTATGCAAAAGGTTACTGTGTTCAGGTAGCTTTACTTAATATGAATGTAAAATTTTCATTTATAGTCTTTGTTGCCCCTATCATCTATGGTATTTGTTGCCCCTTTCATCTATGGTATTTGTTGCCCCTTTCATTCATGGTATTTGTTGCCCCTTTCATCTATGATATTTGTTGCCCCTTCATCCATGGTATTTGTTGCCCCTTTCATCTATGGTATTTGTTGCCCCTTTCATCTATGATATTTGTTGCCCCTTTCATCTATAGTCTTTGTTGCCCCTTTATGGCACGTTTAATAAAAAATTACTCATATAGTGGTTTATACAATTTTGTTGATTTTATAGCTGCATAGTACTATGTGTTTGTGTATAAAATCTTTAAACATACCAGTGTTGTGTGCATAGAGTTTTGATTTGCTGTATTGTTCTGTATGACCTGCTGTTGATGGTGATTGTGGGCATTGTGTTCAGCTGAGAGCCTGTTCTCTATCAAGCTCTTCTCTTCTTCCTGTAATAAATGAACACATGTCAATTATATACAACACATGTGAATACATAAAATACATGTTAATGCATACAACATATTCCAATACATAAAAGACAGTCAAAGCATATATAACACATGTCAACATACAACACATGTCAATACATAAAAGACAGTCAAAACATACACAACACATGTCAACATACAACACATGTCAATACATAAAAGACAGTCAAAACATACACAACACATGTCAACATACAACACATGTCAATACATAAAAGACAGTCAAAACATACACAACACATGTCAACATACAACCCATGTCAATACATAAAAGGCATGCCAATGCATCCAACACATGTAATCCAGCGTAATCGAGTGGATCACCAGTGAATTTAGAAATTCACCAGTTATTTACAGGATTGACTGTTTTTTTGTTGCATTTAGATAACATTTCTGAATTTCACAAAAATCACCTAAATGAAAAAATTCTTAGTTTTCACAAAGCAAATTCTGACACGGATATTTCATTGTTTCATATACGTGTTTAAAGCTACTTTTAATGTATAGTAAAAGCATTAAGTGAGCATTGTATCTTGTTAATACCAACCTTTGGCTTGAGGGAGTTCACAGCAGAATATTTCAATGGCCCAACAGCCATTTTGGTTTTATTATTTTCATTTCTGGAATCAAAAACAAAGTTAGATCAACATAAGGTAGTACTATTTTTCAATGTTTTTGAAGGTCTTTTAAATCTACTTACAACATATTAGAGGTCAGATTGATTATTCATTTGAAGGTTTCAAATTTTGATGCATTAAAGCAATGTATTGCATGAAACAATAGTATGGATTTATATAGATAGTCCTGTACACAGACTATACATACTTTCCAAAGTAAGTGGATGTGTTTTCTCTTTGTTTGATAGTTATTTCCATCCAATAAATATATGATTTTGCACAAGAGATCAATGTGTTGTGAACGACAACATTTACATTACTATAGATTTTGGATGAAGAAATATATATGACAGAGGTTTGTACATACCTAAGCAGTATAATTTTGACAATAGGTGTCGTGACACTTTTTATAATGGCGGACGCATTCAGGTGACTACGGCCACTCAGCACCTGTCCATTGATCTGGAAAACACAATTCAATTCATTTTCATTTCATTCATATATCCAATCATACATATTGATATATATATGTTTACAGATATTATTGATAACAGGTGACATCAAGTGATGCTTATACACCCGTAAAATACATGGAAAATTCTTGTGGAATTTTAATAGTAAAGTATATCAAATAAATGTATTGCAACTGATTTCCCAAATCAGTTACAATAAGCCTGTTAAAATGTAATTTAAATATTCCTTTAGGTTTATTTGAAACCAGATAATAAACTAAGCAAACATCATTCGTCATATGCATCCTTTGTATTTTTCAAATAATTGTTTTGGACAATGACACATATCTACTGGCTATCACAGCAAACCCGCATGACATTTAGACTTAGGAATATAATCACCTCCTCTAAATGTCAAAATCAGTTAGAGAATTTCCTTATACAATTAAAGCAATTGTGGAAGAATATAAATCAGTAACTTAATTCAGTTAGTTTGTTTTTGGGTAGGTCTAATAAGATTCCCATAAAAAAATCGATGTTAAAATGAAATTACTGTCAACATTTTGTAAGGATTGCATTTGATCTTGTTATAAGTAGGCACGGTGACTAGGAAAAACCCTTGAGTTATTATTTGTTAATTCCATATTTGGAAGATTAAAGTGGAAAATATTAATTCTTCTTTGGAAGTCGCATACTGAATCAATATAGTATGCTGATCAATGATTATTAATCTCTATCATAATATTTCATTTTAGCAGAGAATCTGCCATTTCTACAAACTTTGCATGTGTGTTTTAACTGATATCTGAAATGTGATATAGAAAAAGATGAATGATATTAAACTGTAAATACACTGTATTACCCTTAATCTAGCCTTTCAATAGCAGATTCCAAACATCCTCCCTCTTTGATAAAATTAATTAAGTGTTTTGGAAATATCCGACCATGATCAACTATAGATGCAAAACCCATAGAAGTATTGATAAAAAAAACAGTTTGGAAAAGAAACTGAAAAGAAAAATTGGCCATACTTTAACTCAATATCCCAATATACAATACAATACAATGAATATTAGTAGGGAATGATACTACATGGATAATTAGCCCTGGATATTAGACAACTATGTGGGGCACACATGTTACAATGCATGAGGGAGGGGTGAAAGTCACAAGGCCCTAAACCAGGGTGACAGGTAACAAGGCGCTAAAGGAATTAATATCAAAGTTGTAACCCTGGGACTTGTGCATAACATATTAATGTTGCGTCCAATAAATGAGCAAATGAGCTACCAATGGCTCTGTTTTCATGTTTATCGCTACCATCAAACAGATAAGACAACAATCATAAGTTAGGACAAATGTCCAAAGTCTGAAATTTCATTTCATCAGGCGCTTCATCATGTTGTTTTTAGTTTTTATCATTGCTTTGAAGAATTTTGTAGTCATGTTTGAATGATAATTTCCACCAATTTTACCAGTCTGTTGTTTTGAAGAATTTTGCAGTCATATTTGAATGATCAATTAATTTTGCCTGTTGTTTTTATTCCCATTGCCCATCATTTTCAATTGCTTTGTCTGTTTTCAGAAATATTAATGAAAACCCTTGGGGTATTACATTAAACTCATAAAATAGTTCAAGGCTGACTCACTTTGATTATTTCATGGGTTAAATGCCCATGATTATAGATAGTCTGAATGAAAGGAATAAACTGAAAAGTGTACTGCAATAATTCTGTCTCAGATAATAGATATAAGCCAGGGCATAATCCAATATTTATTCACAATGACCCATAAACTGAGCTATATCATTAGATGCCGTAGATTCCAAAATAAGCAAAATATCACATTGGCGAAATGTTCAGAATGAGTCTTAACTGAATGGAAACTAAATTTCAATTTTAAGTAAATATGTTCTATTGGTTCTCAAAAATGAGCATAGGCTGACCCTTTACCCCCATTTATATTAGTTATATAAAAGTCCATAGGTCAAACAATATTTTCCGGGAAGGGGGGATTAAAATGGGAAGCCTTGTTCACGGCTAACAAGTCTGATGGAATCTTTAAGGTGCAATGGTATGAAATCAGTCAGGTGGCATGGGTGGTCATTTCAAACCAGGTCTTCACAATTATGCCACTCAGGTCTTTTCAATCAGTTTTCATAATGCCAATGTCATTTAGAGCATGCCAGATAAACTCTACAAAAATCAATGCATCATTTTTTCTCAGGGAATTAAATACATTTATCTTTGTCATCTCAGTTTCAATATACAGCATGGTTAGTATGGTTATATTAGAAACAACATTGCAGAATGTACAACTGAGGAGAATATACTGCAGATGTCTTTCATTTTCATTTGTTTTACGGTGTGTATATTTTTGCTATATTCGCGGGATGCCCTCCATCCGCGAAAAAAGAACCCGCAAATTAATAGCTAAACTTGTAGGTATAGGCTAGTTGTCTTGAAAAAAACTGAAAACTACGAAAAAATTATGATTTTGTTGATTTTCTGTAAGTTCGTGGCACCTACCCCTCATATCCATAAGGTACTACAGAATAATATAACAGGTCTCCTAAAACCATTAGATCTCCCTGACATTGGTCACTACAAAAAACCTAGTGTAGCCACCCATCACATTCAATAAGGTCTACTGTGCTAATATATGAACTGTGACATGAACTGAACCAAGAGCCAAGAACTAGGACCACCTAATGTTACTAAGTTGAACAGTGACAGGTTACTGGTTCTAAAGAAATGAATACCAGTTGCAACTAAAATATATGCAATACTCAGATGATGTTATAGCTGATCTCTTGCATGTCAATCAATGCTTGTAGAGATATCGTGCCCCATTAACACCAAAATGTGATGACACTTTGGTTATGTCACATCTCTCCTATTAGAAAATGCTGAGTTCCCTAGGCAGTTTGAAAAAATAATCTGATGCTTTTTGGGTTTTCAACATAAGTATAATCATAACTATGAAACCACATGTTACAAACTTGTTCATTCACATAACTAAATAAAGTTCATTAACAAAAACTGATAATGATTATCATTCAAAAAGTGATGCTAATATTTCCTCAATCTGTTAACAATATTAAGGGACATACATTTCTAAACAGGGTCAATTTTTCTCATTTTGTAAGGGTAATATCCCATTGAAAGGAACGTTCTAGCTTTAATCATATTTGCTCATTCTTGTGAATTATAACTAATGGAATTTTTAGCGCTGCTAAATCTCCACTTTGCACGAGTATTTAGACTCCATTCAGCCGACATATTGACTGGAGTATTTAAGTTTAGTCAGAGATGATGCATGATCGATCCTCAACCAATGTATTACTTTATTCATTGAATGTATTGGCCAAACCAAAAATATGGTTTATAACTAACCAACCATATGATTTACAAACCATAAACTTGTGATGCATATTTCAGAGTACAACAAGGCCATAACATGCAAAATGTCACAACCTGCCATTTTTTACAGACTCTGACCGGCGAACATCGACTGCCAACGCCAACCAAAAAACACCAACCCCCGAATACCATCCACAAAAAGGTGGAGACTATAACAATATGTCACCGCTTGTGATGGTGATATACTAAATGTGCATCTTATTTTCTTGGTTTCCATATTCTAAACATTTACGAACTTCTTTACATTTACACAAACTCTTATCTTTAATTCTGCAATTTTCTCAAACATTGGAAATTCCAAAGAGACTTGTGTAAAGACAGTATTGGCATGTCAGATTGACAGGGTATTTAGATGGCTGTGGGGTGATTACAAACCAATCAGGGAAGTACTAGTTGAGGCAGGTCTTCCATTATGATGTGAATTTTAAAGATTTGTAAAAGCCAAGAGACTTGAAAGAGAATTGACTTATCTACTTGCTAAAACATCTGGTTATAATGTTGATTTTACCACCTAACTCAGTAGGCAATAAAACTAGAACACATTTGCTAAAACTCCCCAACCCTCTGATCACAAACACCAATCCTCATCTACCCTTTTAAAGATTGACCCACTTTGTCCCACTCTGAAATTACCAACAGTTCCATTGACCCTGTTTTCTCTGAGATTCTCTATATATGTATATGCGGATATATCCATATACATGGACTGTATGTAATTATATTTACTTGCTCTGCAGTGGTTCTGACAGGTTGAACACCAATCAGTTATTAGTTAGAGGAGACTGTACTTAACTGTACTTATCTTAAAATAGGTTTTAATACTTGAAGAAGAAAAAAAATACTGAATTCAAGAGTTTGTAATACAATAACAATTATCAAAATTTAATCACTCATTTCAAACACAGAAATCTTTTTTTCTCAATGTTGGATTTGATTATTGAAACAATCTTTTAGTTAGTAATTTGAAGAAGTCAAAGTCAAGAATTTATTTGAGGAAAAAGGCTCGTGATAGAAACTGATCGCCTTACTGGATCATAAAGATTCATTATTTTTGTCGTCTTGATGACCAAATAAGCAAAATTAGTTCAATTCAGTTCATACTGGCTTGTTGCATGCCTTTCCCCACTCAGAAGTTGACCAATACACATGTATGCTTTTGTATATTCTAGAAGTTCTGCAGTAAAAGGTTATTCAAATGTCACTATCATTCCACATTTTTTCCAGGAAATATGACCATTATATCACTACCTAATTAGGATGGGCAAAATAATTATAAGTGATATGAATACTGACTTTTCAAACCTTACAAAATCTTTTGGTGTAATACACAAAATCTGTTCATTGTAACTTACTACATGTATTTTTAAATAAGACACTAAATGCCTCATACTTGTCCCAACTTCACATGCATCACATGTATCAAAGAAGAAATTATCAAACGATGTATTTTAAAATGTGAGCCAGTAAATTGAAATAAGAACAACAGAAAGGTGAGATGATTGATTCACTGATAAAATCAAAGCAATAATTGCAAGGTTTTAATTTGAACAAAAACATCCCCCTGGTGACGAAATCAATCACATCTTTTTCCCTCACTAACGCCAAGGAGAACCTGAACCAGATTCTGGACTACTACATTTGGAGTATGCACTCGAGGGATTCACGGACAAGTTAAATGAATACACTTGGGACTAGTTCAAGGTAATTTACAGCCTTCTTAAATACATCTACAGCTGCACTTGGGGAGGTTTTCTTTCTTGAATGATTTGATGCACTAATTTCCCAAGAGTTGCATTAACTAAAACAACAAGGTAGATGAACTTTGAATGTGTGAGTATTATATCATAAACCTCACATTAAAACAGTATAATAATAGGCCTTAGCATTGCAAGTACTGTAAAACCTGTCTCATGGAAATGCCACAGAAAAAAGTGTTCAGATTGGAAGATGTTCTTCACATTTGACAGTCTATGGCATTTTGTAACCTAACAAGGCATTAACATGCAAAATGTCACCACCTGCCATTTGTTATAGATGCCAAATACCAACAGCCAAATGCTATGTACCAATCACTAACTACTGAACACCATCTACAGAAAAGTTGTAGACTATAACAAAATGTGACCACTTCTGATGGCTACATAAAAATGGGACCAAAATGTGTTCATACTGAGAGTGAGGTGTTTGGGTACACAGATTTTACTAGGATCTATCTTTGTATAGTTTACACTTATTTAATCCAATCAGAGAGCACAACAACTGAATCATTGTGTTAATTGATAATGTAGAGTCTGAAATGAACACTATTGCAAAGGATACTCAATGGGAAGTGATATATTGAATAAAGGGTATCCAACCATGACATGGTATCTCTCAATACATAGTCAGGGAAATAAAGACGAGCCTTAGAGTTACAACAGAACTATGCTGCAGTGGAAGATTTGGTGTACTTGGGTGCAGTCTGATGAAAAATGGCTATGAAGACAAAACATGGTCTGGTGCTACTAATTCCAATGGAGCAAATAAGGGTAAACAAGTGAAGCCTGGTCCTATTGAAGTGTTAATGGAACCTCCACAAGATGATGTGGTTATATGATGATCCATAACGCTTAAATGTAAAGAAATGAATCCCAAGATAACCATATACATTTTTCATTACATTAGTTGACAAATGGATGTGAGAAGGAGTAAAAGCCATGCAATACTTGTTCAGAGTTGTTCAAAATCACACAATGCCATGCCTGGCTTTTTTCTACCAGTAATGTTTGCACAATCTTGATAGTATTTTTATACTAATAGACCATGCACTCCAGTAAACCATGCCATCTATTGGTCATGAGGTCATTCTTACATTTTCAGGAGCGAAATAGGATAACCTTATCACTCATTTTCAAAAAACTTCAAAATTTTCTTTCCATTTTGTTTATATACAAACATTTACATTTGCAAGGTATGAAATCATAGCTCTAGCCAATAAACCCTAATTACCTTTTGGGTAACTAATAAAGGCCAGGATTTATTAGAAAGGTCTACATTTGTATAAATACAATGGAAATACTCTATCCTACCTCGATCAATTCATCTCCAACCAGTATCCTCCCATCTTTGGCTGCAGCCTTATTGTTAGTGATACCCACAACGAAGACACTCATCACACTGAGATCTCTGTTACCAGCCAGACTGAGACCGAGCTCATGGTCACCACGTTCAATCTCCAAGATGTGCAACTGACCTGGAAGATCACCATATCTCCTCTGCACCTTCTCTGAAAATACACAATGGAAATCATATAGAGATCTTTTTTGAGGATTACCCTGCCTGTATTCTGGATGTCAAATTAGTTAATTGGATGGCTAAAATAGCGTACATTGTACTTAAAGATGTCCGTCAGCATACTTGTTTGCCTGCACAAAGCACAATGCAAATTATACAAGGTGGGCCAAAAGACTACTCATTCTGTTTATATACTTCTATAATAAGAGTACATTTTTAGGCCCACTCTGTAATACCCCTCTTTTCATGAACAAAATATAAATTTAACAATACATTCAGGAAAAACAAAAAAAACGACCATGATTTAATAATAAGAGCAGAATATTCAATAACATTATAAGATAAATTATCTGAGGCCTCATGAACTTAGTATGTATATCATTTAATAAAGCAATTTCTATCTCAATAAATTATCAAATACTGGCAGAAGGTGAATATAATAAATAATTAAGACAATATTAATTAAAAGCATAGATGAAGTTAACATTCATAATGACAATTTAAACTAAAAAAAATTATCTGTCAATAAATATTTTTATCTGTCACTCTCTTGGTATGTTTTATGATCTTTTTTACTTTTGAACTTTTGAATAATGTATAGCCATATAGAAATACAATAAATATAAGTTATGTCTTTTTAATTTGTTTTTCACCTCCAACATTTAAAGGATTCAGCCACTCAACTGGACATTAAATACTCGTATCGTTAACCTAAATGGCCTAATAGACCATTCCAGGTTTACTCATTCACAAGTGAAAAGAATCAGTTATTCTCTGCAACAGAAACTGTCAAGTAGAACTAACTATATACAGTATATACGAATAGATGACCCTCTATCAATATTCCACTTTACAACTTCAATCCTATTAAAAACTCTTGGAAATATCTTAATCTTCAACATCTGACAAGAGGGGGTTTGGGGAAAGAGTAAGAGATAATGTATGATGGAAATGAGATGAAGTGTGGGGGAGGAGGTATCAAATTGATAAGAAGAGTGGGGAGATGGGGTAACAAGCAAGGGGGGGGGTCTGTGGCATTTAGCTGAGAGTCTTCTCCTTCAGGAGACAATAGAATATAAAAAATATATTAAACAGCGGCCTCTCCCACACCAACCAACCATTGATTGTGGAAGTCACGTAAAGCAAGAAAAATCTTTCAGGGTTATTTAGGATGAAGATTATAGCTGTTTGCTCTTAATGTAGGAGGTTCTAAAGCATTAAATAAAGATTACTTTCAACCTTTTTGCACTCAAATATCCAGGTTTGTTGACAATGTTCTTGGGTTGGCATGGTAACCTTGCAGACTTCTGGTTCATATCAACTAGTCTTTAATTGCACTGATGTAATAATAATAAAATGAAGAACTAAAGAGATTTTATTCATAATTATTCAACCAGACAATATAAGTTATAATGACATTTTCTTGATCTACCTATACATTTGACAGAATTGACTATAGTCAATTTGTCATTTTCTGAACATATAAATATTTAAAAGTATGATGTTTTTCTGTGTAAATACTATCATTAGGGATTATTGGAGTGATTTAGCTGGGTTGCCAAAAAAATAACTTTGGGGAAATTTTTTGTATCTATTACCATGGTAACATACCAGGTATATGGTGGTATCCAAACGCTAAGTCAATAGTCAACGCCATGTTAAGCGATTGCACCCCTCCCTAATCAGCCTATATCATTTTTTCCCCAAACAAACTTTTTGGGCAACCCAGCTAAATCACTTCAGAAAACCCTTATTATCATAAATCACCATAAAACATCGTACTTTTAACAATTTCTAGGTTCACTATTGGATGTATAGGGGTGACAAATGGACTACTAGATGCAAGTAGAAATATCTTGATATACATCACTACAAATTCCAAATTCAGTCAAAGTGATATCATATTTAAAATTAACATGTAAAATCACATCTTGAAATGTGGTTTTAAAAAGTGTTTATTAACTTTGAAAATTCAATTTTCTTCGAAATTGTGACTTCTAGGTCGGGGAGATTCCCTGTAGACCCCATGTTATAAAATCACAAAAAGAGAAACATCTTTTCTTATTGGACACAGATAATATTGTCTTTTACTGGACATATTTTAATTTGTATAACTATCAGATACATAAGGGTAATATAAAAATTGAACCACTAAAACTGATGAATGTTCAAGTTTAAGGGAACTTTGTAATTACCTTCCATGTTACCGACCCCGAATAGCCACCTGGTGGTGAAAATGGTGACTACCTACTAGCCTCTGGGTAATTGTCCATTTGCTTATGCTCCATGATAAAGTTGTTCGGGATAGAGAAGGGAGGGATTGACCGCTGAGGTCCTATATTGGTACAATGGATGTACAATAATGGATCAAAATGTGCTTTTGTGGGTAATGTCAACCCTTCACTCATAAGCCAAATACTTTCATCAGAATTGCCAAATAGATGATATCAACATAAATGAATACATGTATAATACTACTGAACAAGTAAAATATTATGCATTCTGCAAAGATGAGCAGTGATTTTCCAATTTTTTAAATCAAATCATTTTTTAGATAATAATAAATAGCAAAAATTAGGATGCATAAAAAATGACTGGATTATTTTTTATTTGAATTGACATCAAACAGTTTCCAAAAGTGAATGATTTTAACGTCTGTTCACAAATCAATTATCACCAAATTAAATCATACCCAAAACATCTAGGCTACTTAGACCCTAGAAAGAATTCATCAAAGTACATGTAGACTTATTGCGTCAAAACGACCCAAAAGCGTCAAATTAATACTGTAGTAATTGCTGCGCTGAACTTAACTTTATTTCTTAATGCCTTGCAACCTTTATTTCTACATGACTTGCAACCTTTGTTTCTATGTGCCTTGCAACCTTTGTTTCTATGTGCCTTGCAACCTTTATTTCTACATGCCTTGCAACCTTTATTTCTGCATGCCTTGCAACCTTTGTTTCTATGTGCCTTGCAACCTTTATTTCTGCATGCCTTGCAACCTTTGTTTCTATGTGCCTTGCAACCTTTATGTTATGTGTGCTTTGCAGCCTTAATGTGTGGTCCAAATAATGAAGAATATAAAGACCTACAGGGATTACCTTTGGGATGCCTATAACATGTGTAGGAAGATGATGTTTCCTTTTAATCACAACCCATGTAAAAAATGTCACGGTGATGCATGGCATAAATACAGTAGAAACATTGAAATTAGCAAGGAAATGGGTAAAAACCCTGAAATTATAACCTCCACATTTTGTATATATAGAAATATATTCTCCAGAGTTTAAGAAGGAAAATGCATAAACTGTATGTCACATTCAACAGTGTGAAGCTCATAGGCAGAGAGATCAATGTATATTCTAAATCTAATTTCTAACATATACGTCAATGTAATGAATCAATAGTGCAAGACAAATATGGCAATTCCTAATCATATAGACCTGGGGTTAATCCATACCCTCTGTATAAGAGACTAATCAAGTTATAGCTGAAGGGTTCTTCATTACAGTAAAGATATGAGGACTTTAATAACAATGAGAACGCACAACAGGACAACACTTCAAAAGCAAAATGAACTATTTCTTAATGGTGGTCAATATAGAGAGGGTTGGGCATAACTGAATGCAAGGGAGACCCTCAGTAATTGTGTAATGTATCAAAATATGTAAAATTTTATTCGAGACACTTACCTTATTAATTCTATTCAAATAGTTTATTCTTAACCTTTAGCATGCTGACTTATTTCAGCAAATATATCCCACGCGACTGACTTATTTTTCAAAGAGTGCAAAAATGATATGCCTGGACTAAATAATTAATATCTCAATAACTATTACTGAATGAATCTGGATAAAATTTTCACAAAGAGAAGATACACTGGCCTGGCTCATGAAAAAAATCTTCTCATGAATTTTTTACGTTCATAAACACGACTGGGCATAAATATACCATGAATACTCCCCTGGGGAGATTTAACGTCTGGTCAGAATCCAAAACTGAATGGAATGTTCATCTTTTCAGTTCAGAAAATATTCTAGTTTCTATTTTCGATGACCATTATCTGCTCCCAAGAGCCTTAAAAAGAGCTCGAAATCGCAATCCATTTCCTCCACATGTTCGTTGTGATCGTATTTGGCCGCCATTTTGTACAACTTGTTCACTAAAAACGACTTAAACACTGTTTAAATTGTTGAATTGAGAAATATTTTTCGAAACATTGCCATTTCTAGGTCAACAGGAAGTCCCCACGTAAGGACTGAATAAATCGGGCAATCTAATTGGATCATAAGAACGGCGGGAAAAAGTAACTAGTATAGACTATATTACAGTTTAGCAGCCCCACCCCCATGACCGATGCCGTAACGGCTCGGGTCATTTCATACCTACCGCACTGACATATTCTCAACCATCAAACTGAAAGAGTGAAGACGAAGCTCTCTTTTCAGAAGCAAAGTCGAATGAATGCAAAGGGTAATTCTTAATACAAATCAAGAAATCCAAAAATCTACATTTTTAGCACAAAGATATAAAAATTCATATTTATCAAATATGGTAAACCTTCATTCCTCCTGTTTCACATGACATGTTTGAATGAGTAACTAAGATGAATAAATGAGTCCTGACAGATTTGCCAATGTTAGCTACAGGTGGTGCTGACAGTATCATACATATAGGCAGATAGAAGAAACACACTATCTTGTATCATCCTACAACAGATAAGTTAGCCTACCCTGCAATCCACATCAACTTGCTACACACCCTCTGACTATTACAGGTGAATTTATAGTTCTGCTTTTACCACTCAATGTAGCTTTCATGGATGGCAATCATGGTTGGCGGAAATAGTAGTGTCGTGATCATATGACTATATATTTTGATTGTATAGAGGTATTGTAACGAACCAGAGGTCTAACGTTCGCAATTTCAACGTAGCAGTTTCATCGGCGTTCGGTAGTTTAGCGCATCGTTTATTTTTCTTACTTTTCA